GCAAAAAAAGGAGACTTGAATACTTAGAAAACAAAAGAACAAAATTAAAATCCCCTCAACCATACAAAACAAATTCAAAAATACTTTACAACGGAGGGAGGTGCAGATGTGTGGCATTGCACACATAGAGGCAAAATAAGGGGCTATTGGAGGGACAGTGATATGCATTGCTCAGATTTATTTGATGCCAGGTACAAAGGGAACATGCCTGCCAATCATTAAGTTGAAGACATTATGTAATTATTCAGCTAGTTATAAAGTTCCTACTTTCAAACCATATATATGTAGTATTCATAAAGAATACCTATCTATGAACATGTATGTAACAAATTATGGCTATCTATGGGACGGGGATATTAGTAAGGCACATAGTATCATTAGACTGGATTAAGTGCTGGAGATCAAAGAATTTCATGCCAGCTTTTGTCATAAAGAAAGTTTTGTGTCTGGAGTTCAGTTAAGCCTAGTCAAAGGAGTCACGATTAATCTGGGCAAGGTCTGCAATGACATCTACAGTGATTAGAAAGAGATAGGGATTTCTAGTGTCCAATTTATCTCTCTTGTGAGTAGATCTCTAAAGCAGGCCAGATGAATTGTACTCTAAATGTACCCTAACTTCTCTCCAGCTATTACAAAGGGAGTCCAGGATGACTAGCTGAGACATTGATTAATTCCCAGTATTTTCCAGAAAATGCAACTCACATATGATTGATGATTTCAAGATAAAAACTGAAAATCTACTAGAGAACTTTTGGTCATACTGCAGTACCCACAGTCACAAAAATAGTGAGAATGATAAAGAAAATTGCTGTCATCTCTGACTAGTCAAGTGAAAAAAATTCCCCTTCTGGCAAAGACATTTTTAATGCTATTCCCATCTTTACTATACCTTCATATTTTAATTATGTGGAAGAAATTCTCTTCATCACAGTCAGCTGAAGAAATCTGATGAACCAAAAGGTCTTTAGGCCAGGCAACTTTTCAGAACACTTGACAGGCTCCTCCATTTAAATAATCTTGGTTTAAAGTCCCCATTTTGGAATCTTCACAAATGCAGAGAAACTGAGCCCTATGACATCCCAGAAAGTCTGACTCTTTCTAATTCTTCAGTACTGTGAACTGGCAACATTTGCTTTTGTAGTACTGTTTCTCAGACATCCTTCAGATGTAACAGAATAGTTCTGATCTATTCTGTGATCAGACAATCATGTTCTATGATTCTATGATCTGCTATTTTCCTTGAGATTGTGATAATAAATTACTCCAAAGAGTAATAAGATCTAAACTGAAAAGAGAGGAAGCTTTCTTTTCATTTTAAAAGTTCTACTTTGTTTGACTAAGCACAGATTATTTTAGAAGTACTTCAAACCCTTTAAAGTTATCAGAAAATAGTAGGAGAAACTGAAGTAACAAACCTATGACAAAGTGTAAATCTACAGATAGAGACAGAATTTTCTCCTCCCCGTGGATCAGCTTAGAAAGAAAAAAAACCACAGAAGTATAGAACATTACAAAGAAATACATATTTTTATTGTTAAATGGTGGTTATGGACACACAGCTTCTTTTTTTCCTTCATAGGTGTGTCCTTTCTCTTTTAAACACTGTAAGATAGCTCATGAACAATATTTGATTAACAGTAAAAGAAACTTTAAATTTTACCACCTACAAACACTCGCAAGTGAAGGTAGAATATACTTCCCTGCTAAGCATATTTTAAAGTTTTTTTATTTTAATACTATTTTAATACTATATTATTCGTGTATAATATCATCAATAAACTAGGCAAAGGTCAACTTGGTATATGATGAGAACCTAAAAGTTTCATATCAAGTACAATGATATCTAACATTCCTGTAACTTGCACTCGACACCAGCTGCAGTTACTGATAAGCAGCAGACACCAATCACAGACTACAATGGGCCTGAGACAAACAGGGTCTCACACAGCCTTAACTGTATTTTAGTTAAAGGTGTGGTTCGATGCAGAGAAAAAAAAGAAGCATCAGTAAGAACAAAATCAGTATCTTAAATACCAGTAATGTACCTACTACTAATCTTACCCTACCCCACATAAGTTTTCTGGTCAGATAATTAGATGCCATCTACTAAAAATAGATTTCTTTCAAGCAGCCAATCTCTCTCCCTTAATTCATAGAGATCTGTCCCAAAGAAGTCTCATACAGTTCTAACAATAATGATACAATTTGCTGTACTGAAAATTGGAATGACAAAGAACAAATCTTTTACATTCATTTAGTGTCATATGGAATGAATAAAAGAGGCTTTACTTCCATGTAACAATGGAATCATTTTTTTAATAAATAGGATTTTAGTTTAAAAATATGTGTTTACTGCTAAATGCTACATTAAACCACTCTATAATATGTTAAAATACCTTAAAATTTAAAATAATATTCAAATATTACATGCTTGCCGCCAACATCTGAAAGCATGTCAGATCACTAAAAAGAAACCAATTGCCTTAGCCAATGATGAAAGATTAGCCAAATGAAAGATTCTTGAAAAGACAAAATAAGTTTTGACTTTTAGCCTTTTCTGACAGTGTTGGCAATTTTTTTTTCATTTCACTTCCTGCTAATGTCATTCAAAACTGAGTAACTGGGTTCAGACTATAAAAAGCAGAAACATTTTTCTTCTCTAACAGATGAAGAAGTTGGGTTCTTTTGAGACTGAGACCTCACAGGGAAGCCTGTGCTGGAGTACACTGTTCCTGAAGGACAGCACCCCATGGGAGGGACCCACATTAGAACAGTTCATGAAGAACTGCAGCCTGTGGGAAGGATTCACGTTGGAGAAGTTCATGGAGGACTGTCTCCTCTGGGAGGGACCCCACCCTGGAGCAGAGGCAGCGTGTGAGGAGCCATCCC